TTTCCCTTTCCACTCTCTTTGGGCCCGGCTTTCCTTTCCTTCCCTTCAACCCCTTCTCATGGTCCCACACAATTCAACCTCACTGTTTTGGATCCAAGAAAAGAGAAACAAGAAAATCATATAAACATATCCACCCCAAAGTCTGGCGGATACTCTAATTGAGCAACATTGAAACAATTCCTCTGTAGTTAGCACCACAGCAAGAGCCGGGCTCTCCAACACATGGGAAACAATCTGTGTGTAAATATTTTCAAATTGGCTTGTTCAAGAAAAAGGAAACCCGGAGGAGTCATACATGGTCCAGATGCATTAATTCAGATGGTCAGCGATTCTTTCTGCAAGGGAGAGAATCTCCCTATTATAAAAGACAGAATGAGGATTCACATGAATGGGGAAGGCAGATCCTAACGGGCTTCCTCTGGAAATGGAATACTCAAAGGCACAAGCAGGAAAGAGGAAAGACTTCAGTATTTGTGATATAAGGGGACTGTTAAGCCTAATTTTCTCTATGTACACTTCCTAGAAATACCAATAAAAAGTTTGTCCAACAAAACCATTTTGATATCTGGCCCTCACTCAGCTTCAAATTTCAAGATGGATTCTGAAACTAGAATCTCAAAATTTGTCATTCCGGCTTCAGTGCTTGTTTCTTTTTTTTTAAATTTTTTAAATTTTATATTTATTTATTTATACAAGCACTGGGTACAGTCAGAAGCACAGGAGGGTGAGAGAATTCACCAGAGCCAGAGCGGGGAGCAGAGCAGGCAGAAGGACCGAAGTACACTGCTGAGGGGAGCAGAGGGCGGCAGGAGAGTTCTGCAAGCCATGTGGGACCCTCCTCTGGTGGCCATGGAGCAGCTGGGGATCGAACCGGCGCTGCAGAGGCTGCAGAGGCTGCGGGCAGCTTCGCAACCCAGTGCTCAACCACTGCGCCACCGGGGAGGCCCTTCACTGCTTGTTTCTTAATGATGTGGCCTTGGGCATGCCACTGACTCCTCTGTGTTCCCATTTTCTTACAATGAAGATGTTATCAGTATCTTCATGAGTGGCTTTTAGTGTTAAATTAGTTTAGGATGCTGGGAACAGAATAAGGGCCAGCTACTTGTTAACTATGATGATGGCAATAGTGATGGTGGTGGGAGGAGAAGGAGGGCTTTTTTTTTTTTTTTAAATTAAATACATTTTTTTACATCATTGTTCATTTTTAAGCAATGATTGCTTCCCCCCCTCCCCAGGTGTAGTTCCTGTAGAATTTCCTTCCCCAATGTACCCGTGCAACATCACCTCAGTCCCCAGTGCACTGCCCTCCCTCCCTCTGAAACCTCTCCCTCCTCCTCCCCTGAAGGATGGCTCTGATTTATAATTGTCTGTTTGTTTTTGTTTTGTTACTATTTTTTTTCCCTGATATCTTATTTGGTTCCCTTATAATTAGGAGTTTTTTTGTGGGACCCTCGCCGGTGGCCGGGAATCGAACTGGCGCTGCAGAGGCTGCGGGAAGCCTCACAACCCAGCGCTCAACCACTGCGCCACCAGGGGAGGCCCAGGGAGGAGGGTTTTATAGGCATTATTTTCTCTTCAACAACCTTTTCTTGCCTATTTCTATTTCTATTTGTGAGACTATCATTTTAGCATGAGATCTCAAATCTGGGAGTCACTGCTGAATTCTTCTTTTCTCTAAGATTCACAGAACTCAATTAGTTGACAAGTTTTATTGATTTGACCTTATATTTAGAGTTTCGTTTTCCCCATTCCCTTATCAAGACCTTTACTCTAAATTTGCTTCTTACCTGAAAAACTGGCAATGATTTCTTGGTCTCATTGTCCTATGGTCCCTTCTACTCCACTGTGCTTTCAGTTTGGACAATATCAAAACCCATTAAAAACCTCTTGGTGGAGGCCCAGTGTAGTGACAGGAAGGTCACAGAGCAGGTTTTCTTTTCTTTCTTTTTTTTTTTTAAAGATTTATTTTTTATTCATGCATACAAGAACCAGGGTAGAGGCCAGATGTGCAGGAGGGTGAGAGGATTCACCACAGACAGAGCGGGGAGCAGAACAGGCAGATGGACTGAAACACACTGCCGAGAGGAGCAGTGGGTGAGACAGGAGAGGTCTGCCATGCCATGTGGGTATCTCCCTGGCCGGCTGGGATCAAACCCCTGCTGCAGAGGCTTCAGACAGCTCACAGCGCTGAGCTCAACCACCTGTGCCACCAGGGGAGGCCCAGAGCAGGTTTTTTATGATTGGAGCAGACGGGGTAAGGCGGAGTCCTGGAGCCCTGGGTGGCTTTCTCAGGCTTTTATTGAGCTTTTACATGCAGTGCAGCAACCAGGTACTCGCAGGCAGGGATGCCGGGGAAGGGGGTCCAGGAGGCCTCTGGGTTCCCTGGAGTTTTTTCTCCCCTTCTCTCTCCTCCCTATCTCCTCTTGGCAAGTATCTCAATACTGTTGCCAAGGCCCATAGAAGTAAACAAATAACTTATAACAATGTAACAACTGCAGGTACCCCATCAGGCAGGGCAATCCTAATGGTGGGAGGGCAGAAAAGCCTGAAAACCATTTACCCTACACCTAGCTAAGCACAAAACTTTTAATCCAGCATTTGGAGCCTTGAGAAACTCTGACTTGTTATTTCTACACTTAATTCTTTTTATTTACTGGTGTGCACTAAATGCTCCATTCAACTAGATTTCTCACAGTTACCCCAATACTTCTCAGTTTCAGACTGTGCCACTTTTAGCTATATAGTCCCTGGCAATTAATCAAAGTTTCAGTTTCCTGTTCTGTAAAATGGAGGTAATAATAGACTCTCTTTAACAGTGTGATTGTGAAGATTGCAAGAGTTAACACATAGAAAGGACTTAGCATAGTGCCTAACACAGAGTGTACAGCCCATGTCAGTCATGCTGGTTTTTATGATGACAGTGATGATGACAATGGTGATGATGTAATGGTGATGATGTAATGGTGATGATAGGATCAATGCGATTGTTTATGCTATTCTTTCACCTAACGGTTCACAATTCTGTTCAATTTCAAGAAAACACTAACCATCCTCCAAGTCTTAAGTCTTTTCTAGAATCTGCTCATTCGTAAAGTCTTTTCTTGCTCCCTTTTCTCTCCCTCTTCTGAAACCTCATGTGTGCTCACCTTTCTCTTGGAGCTTATATTCCTCTGTGTCCTATAATTATTTTTGCAGCTTTAAAAATCTCTCCCTGTTGCCATTTTCATACAAATTTGCAATAAAAATTCTCAGTGAATTGATCTTTTGAAGGTAGAAAAATGTTCCTTTAATTGCTAATTTAAGATTAATTAATAAGTTAATTGTTAAGCCTAATGGGTAAGTGCAGTTTTTTGGATTACCTGCCATAACTCTCAGAAATCCTATATTATGAGAAGACAGTCACAGAATAAGGTGATAACTACTTCCTAAAACCCTGAGCTCCCATAGGGGACTACTTCATAGGAAAGCATGTCCTTTGGACAGCTGTGAAGTTGTGGTATCCAAAAATTACTGCAAAAAATTTCATATTTTGTATTTCCCTCTTAAGAAATAAAGATCAAAATAATGTCAGAATCAGAACTTTGCTGATACTTCTTTATACATGGGGGATTGGGTAGTAGAAAAATTGCAATAGTATTTTTCAGGGTTTAGCTTGTGAAGTTCTCAGTCTGATCCTATTTTTTTCCCGTTTCAAACAGAAGCTCTGCTCAAGCTTATCTTTTCTCTTTTCTTTGGTCTTCTGCATCCACCCTGCTTTTCACTTGGATGTGAAGTGGTGATGGAAATGTTGGCTTGAAACCTCAGGAGTACCCAGGTGGTTCGTGAAGCTGGCTCACTTACACCGAGGGTAAGAGACTGAAGAGAGAGACACACTTCTCCAGATTGGTAGGTTTCAGTTTCAATGAGCAAGGAAATTTTCATACAAGCTTTGTCTTGGGTAACCATAAGATAGTAGCTCCCTGTACCCACTTGCCAGAAACTTAAAAAGTTTTTATAGCAGCCTTAACTAGGTGCAGTCACATTGACAATCCAGATGGTCCCCCAAATTGCAGTAGTTCCCCCTTATCTGTGGAGGATATGCTCCAATACCCTTGTTGAAAGTAGGACAGTGAAAATGGAGATTAAGGGGGAGGAATGGCGAGCAATGTACATTTCAAGACAGGTAAGATGAGCTTCTGATTACCTGTATGCAGATCTAAGGTCAATGATGGGTCACATCCTCTGGATGACATTCTCCAACATCTTACATGCCCCCTTCCACCCCTTCCCCACTCCAGCCCCACCCCCATGCTCAACTGGCTTGCAAAGTGGCAAGGAGTTTGTCAGCATGGAGGTGGCTCATTTGGTGGCTTTCTGGCTGTATCGGAGGCCAACCATACAGGCACATGCAAGAGAAAATGGATTAAGGTTATGACTCCTAAAATGAGTTACAGTTTTTCCACCAAGAGTTCTATGAGCCGACCTGCTGATTTATTCAGTCCCTTAGGCTGGCGATCTGCCTCTTTTCTTCAGTCTCTCCTTGTCCTCCGTGTGCAGGGGCCAGTTTGCAAACCAACAGAGAACTGTAATGAACGATCCTTTCTCAAGAGAATATTCTCTCAACTATTGAATACAATCCCTTATCTGCTCCCTTCTAAGGTCGTCACCTGCACCTTGAAAAGTTTTTGCTGCAAAAAGCAGCTAATTCCAGTTCCAGATGCAAAACAACAGCCTACGGCGTTAAGCCAAAACAGGAACGAATTCTCCGGTGGGCTCTTACAGCCGGATAGAGGTTTGCCGGAACACCCTTAGGAGAAGGGGACCACTTAATGCAAGCTTTTGAAAAACCTAAATGGTAAGGTAATGAAGGACTTATTTGTTCTCCGATTTATCTTTTTAATGATATTCTTCAACAGCTTATGGATCCAAAAGTCTGTGCCCCATAAATTGGGTAAGTGAGCACAAATCTGCTTCAGCTTAAGGAATTTATTACAGATTCAAGGGCTAGTGATTAGAACCTCTTCATTTTAGGACCAAGGGATTGCTTATGCAGTATCTACTGCAAAAAGGTCAGGTCACAGCACTCTTACTTGGATCTGCTACAGACTGATGATTGAAAATTGTTGACTTACACAGGTAATAGAATCTCTTTAAAGATATCTTTCTAATGTATTTACTTTCCAGACAGCCAAATGCCAGGCTACTAACAGATGAGTTGTTTGTACTTTAAAAGTTTACTGTTCCAGTTAGGACATTCTTGATGGCATTTTATATTCTCTTTGCAGTGCAGCCAGCTGATTCATGCTGTATTCTGAAGGTTATGAGTCTCCCTGTGATGTTAAGAACTATATGTCTGAACCATTAAAGAAGAAGTGTATAAAATGCAGTGTTGCTCAGTGGAAGTATATGAAGCAGAAGTATTTCATTTTATGCTGTGACTCTAGCTATATTTGTAGCTTTTGAGCTCTGGTGGTTTTCCTACTTTCTTTCATTTTTGGAGTTACAACTGTCTCCTCTGTTGGAAAACATAGAACAAGGTTGTTAGATGAGCTTTTTATATTTATTATATGTACTTTAGGTTCAACTTACAAATGCCAATATTTACTGAGTTACTGCTATATGAATGTTTTCTGCTGAATGCTGAGAGGGCTACCAAGATGATTCAGGTATAGTCTTTGCTCTTTGGGAACTTATAAGTACACCCATGACTGCAGTGTGTGATAGAATGTGTTAGAGATTATTAAAAAGTTTAAAGCATTAGAAAGATTCACAAAGGAAGATAACATATTTGAGAGATCTAGAAAAACTGCATGGAAAAGATCTTTTGAGATGTGTACTTAAGTATGCGTAAAAAATGAACAGACGGAGCTTGTTTGGGATAAAGGAATCACAAGAAAGGAAAATCATAGAGTCAGTGATACATTCTGGTAAACATGGGGTGTCATTAAAGAACAGTTCATAGTCACAGCTGAGACATAGGGGTTAGAAAGGAGTAGAGGGGTTGTGTACACTTAAGTTTCCTGCTCTCTCCTCTGGCAGATTTTTTGCTAGAGTGACTGCCCAACCACAAGCTACTTTTCCCAGATTCTCTTGGAATAGAGACAGAAATGATGGGTGATTTCCAGGCCTCACATGCCAATTTGACAATGATTCTGAAGGTGACCTTAAAAACCTCACACTGCAGGTGGGACAGCCTAGATTCTGAATGACTGAGTGGAGCAGAGCATTTCCTACTTTCACTTCCTACCCCCAATTGGAGCACTTACATGTGCTTAGGTGAACAAGAAAAAGAAAACAAACTTCAATGAATTTAGCCACTGAGAAATTGGGTTTTCTTAAAATAAAGTTACTTTAACTAATGTGGTCTTTAAATGGGAAGGGTAGTCCTTGTGCATGTCACGGAGAGATAGCATGATGTAGTGGGGACAACTCTGAATTAGAAAACATAGCTTTCATTTGTTCATCTTTTCACTTATTCATTTATTTCATATTTATTGAGGTTTTTGTAGCCTGGCAAATTTTAAGCTAAATGCTGGGATGTTATGATTAATATACAATTCATGGCCTTAAAGAGTTTATAATGCAGAGGAAAAGAATGAAATGAAATGAGATTGCAATGATCCATTATAATGTTTGAAACCAGCAGTATCAGAATCATTTTGGAACTTGTTAGAAAAAGCAGATTCTCAGGTTCCACACCCAAATCAATGGAATTATTATCTACATTTTAACAAGTTGGTTGAAGAGCTTATACATTAAAGTTTGAGATGCATTGGTGAAATAGGTGCTTTGGTAAGATGAAGCAAGGGGCCAAAGGGAGACTAAAGGAAGAGCAATTAGTCTAGTCTTGGGATGTTTTCAGAAGATTCCCTAGGCTAGACGATGGTCAAGTGGCTTCTGAGCAGCATGCCTTAGTCATAATTGTGTAAGTTTGGGTGATCTACTTACTTTCAGCTTTGATTTCCTTCTCTGCAAAATACTTATTTTTCAAGGCTGTTGTGGGTCTCAAGACTTTCTGGGGTTGTTTTGAGGCTTGAATGAGTTCTCCGTGAAAGTGCTTTGAATACTCTAAAGCTTTATACAAATGGAAAACTTGTACTTTTTCAACTGTAGTTGGAATACAGGAACAAAATTGTGTTTGGTATAATAATGCATTTGAGACAGTGCTTAGTAAGAAAAGAAAATATCCAGTATGGATTTTTTGTTTTGATTAAATGAAGAACTAAAGGAAATCCACCCCCGCCCCCCACCCCCTTCTTACTGCAGAGGATGCAACTTCTGAAAAATAGGTCTTGTATATTGGTTAAATAGGATATCTCCTGGGGTTGAAAAGCACATGCCCTTGGGACTTGTGGGATCTGGACTTAAACCATTTGTGTGTGCCCTTGCATAGGTTTTGTCTAAAACAGAGATAGTGAGGTAAGACTTCCTTCTGATTAAGAAAAACATCAGTTCCTTGGCACAAATGGAAAAATTCAAACTGAGTGAGTTTATTCAGAATTAATAGGACTGTAGAGGTTAATAAAAAAAAGCAAAGCAAAGAACAGTAATTAATGATGATTTTAGCGATCCAGTAATATAGTTGCTACACAGAACTTCGCACCACCAAGTATTTTTAGTGTTTATGAGATCAGGCCTGATAGCCAATGGCTCCAGCTCTGCAGCCAAATGTTTTCTAGGTGGTATGGTGTATGTTAAGTATAGCTTCCTAGCTGGAGTTAGTCACCTAAATCAGGAAACAAGCCTTATACTTATTAGGCAACTCCTGGGATACCCACTGCCTTTGACCTTGATGTGTAGGCCGGATCTCTAAAACCTATCCAGCTGGATCTAAGCTTTTGAACTTGTCATCCTTTGAATACAATGCTGTCTCTAAGTCCTTCCTTCTCTTTTGGCTAGTATCTGACCCAGCAAGCTTAAATTCCATGTCATAAAGAGTGCAACAAGTCTTTAGAACAAACAGATCAGAGTGGCAGGGAAGAGCTGGAATAGTGGTGATGTATGAGATGGGCTTGGTCAGGTCTTTGAAAAAGATGAATAAGGTTTACTTTCTAGACTTGGGAATAATACGAGTAAAGACATGATAGTGGGGATGAGCATACTATGAATATTATAATACTTTTTGCATGATAAAATTCCTTCTGTTTTTTCTCACCTATATTTCAATGTAAGGTTTGTTGAGGGTAAATTTATGTAATAAATTCACCCTTTTTAGTGTATATATATATATATATATTTTTTTTTTAAAAGATTTATTTACTTTATGCATACATGAACTGGGGTATAGGCCAGAGGTGTGGGTGGTGAGAGCATTCACCAAAGACAGAGTGGGGAACAGAACAGGCATATCTACTGAAATACACTGCTGAGGGGAGCAGTGGCGAGACAGGAGAAGTCTTCTGCACCATGTGAGTAACTCCCTGGCTGGGGATCGAACTCATGCTTCAGTGGCTGAGGATAGCTTCATAGGTTGTGTCTTAACCCCTTGTGCCACCAGGGAGGCCCAATAGTGTATAATTTGAAGAATTTTTCAATGTATAAAATATCTAATATCATAATCAAGATATGAAATAGCATTATCTAATAGAAATGTAATGTAAGCCACACACATAACTTTATATTTCCAGTAGCTATATTACAAAGGTAAAAAAGGAACATGAAATTTATTTAAATAATAACCAAATATAGAAACATATATCATTTCAACATTTAATCAATATAAAGTTCGACATATTTATATTCTTTTTTTCATACAAAGTTTTTGCAACCTGATGCCTTTTAGCACAGCAGTATCTTACAGCACAAATCAAATCAGATTAGTCACATTTTGTAGCCACATGTATCTGGTGGCTACTGACAGTGCGGATAATGAATATTCCTATCATATAAAAAAAACGTTCTTTTGTGCTCCTTTGCAGTCTGTCAGTTTCCTCCCAATCTTGACCTCTGGCAACTACTGATTTGTTTCTCTCTCTCTCTCTCTCTCTCTCTCTCTCTCTCTCTCTCTCTCTCTCTCTCTCTCTCTCTCTCTCTCTCGTTGCCCAATCATTAGATGGAGGATAATCTGCTTTTCTCAAAGTCTACTGATTTCAATGTTTATAAAATGTAAAAATACCTCCATACTGTATGATTCAGCAATTCCATTTCTAAATATATGCTCCTGCCTCTAAAACTGAAAGCTTGATCTTGAAAAGATGTTTGCACAGCCATGTTAACAGTAGCATTATTCACAATCACCAAAAGGTCTAAACAACTTAAATGTCCATCAGTGAATGAAGAGATAAACCAAACCTGGTATATACCTGTAATAGAATATTATTCAGCCTTAAAAAGGAAATTCTGACATGTATGGCTCCTGTGAATTTTTGCTTACAAGCCTTTGTTCTTAGTTCATTTGAGCAAACCATTAAATCACTGTATCATGTGGAATACTTGTGATGCAAGTAACAGAAAACTGCCTCAAATCAACTTAAAATATAAACATATATTATTGCACCAACGGAAGTCCAAAAGAAGAATGGCTTTTAGGGTGGCTAGTTCAGCTAATAAACAACATCATACATGAACCAGGCCCTTTCTCTCTCTTTAGGCCTCCATTCTTCTTCATGTTGGTGTTGGCCTTGAGATAATCTCATTCCAGGGACAAGAGAGCAGTGACAGGACCAAGTGCTCTACCCAGATAGAATAATGTCTAGAGGTAGAAGAGTGGCCTGTCTTTTCGACATGTTTTTCTGAAGATCAAGAAATCTTACCCAGAAGCCCCCTCATTAGATTTTGCCTTGATTAGAAATGCATAAAATACCCAGAATTATATCAAATGAGAAAAGTAACTGCTTTCAAGGGCAGTGGACAAGGACCCCTTCATTACCTTAGGACATTCTCTTGGGATGAAGCTTGTATAATTTCCCCTAAGCACACGACTAAGCAGAGGAGAGTGGACAATTGAACAATGTGAAGATTTGCTTGGAAGGAGAGTAAATGCATGTTGCGTCAACAGCGCCCACTGCAGTGTTGAGTCTGCCGGGCACCTTTCACCTGCCTTCTGCTGTCCTAACAATAGACTTTCTAAAGTACTTTTATATCTATTACTCTATTTCTACTAAAAGGTTAACAAGAACATAAAGGGGCTCCTATCC